GCTTCAAACAATGACCTGAAGTATCAGTGGGCTGGTGTGTCAACAATGAACCAGAAAAGGTGTGAGGGTCTGATGTACTGGGGAAGGTCAGGTCTGGCAGGCTAACAAAGCAGGGTGGTTGGGGAGTATGTCTCTTTCTTCCTTGCTGGGAAGTGAACATGTGATGGAAGGAAAACAGGTGCCTGCCCAGTGTGATTTGAATATGCATTTAATATGCCCCAGGATTGTAATACTCCTCCTCTTTCTTCCTAGTCCTTGTGGTGCAAAGTTCTTTTTCCTTTTTGCCTTCTCCCATGGAATTTTTACATCTCCCCTCCCCTAAAGTTCTCATTTTCAGCAGTCCCTCACAGTCGAGGATAATTGTCTTCCATGACTATCTTACCTGTGTCCAAAGATGGCTGTATGAGGCCTGTACTCTACTGCAGCTTGGACATGTGTTTTCACGTGGGGTGGGTGGCACTAGATTCTTGATTTGGTCTGTGACATGCTATTTCTGCCACTTCCACTTTTCTACCTCCCAGCTGGACAACAGGTCATCTCCTTTATTGAGCTCCTTGTCTTCCAACAGCATGATTGATCTACATCCTATAGTGCTGAACCCTGCAGGCTTCTACACCTCCCTCCAGACTGGCAATCACATCAATAAGCTGAGGCACACCAGCTTCCTAAGGTAGGTTGGATGACAGTTACTGTCTCAGGACTGATACCTGTATTTCTGTGGGTTGCATCTTGTGCAAGGAGTCCCATGGAAGTAGTGGGGGAGGGGTGCAATTCAGTGTGAAAAGAGGATGAGAACCCAGCCCCTGGTGAAGAAACTATTGGCTCATTATGTGGAGCGGCTGACAAAGCTCTTATTTTACCAGTGTTTGCTCAGACATAGCAGAAAGAGGGGAAGATCTTAGTTGGTAGGAAAGGGTTAAAGGTTTAACTACAGCTGCAAAATGGCAGGCTACAAGACTGACTCTGGAAGAATCAGACACTTGATCAGGAAGAACTAGTAATGTAGAGCTGCAGTTTGTTTGTATAGACTAATGTTATGTGGTAAGTTTAGTTTGCAGGGGCATTTACTCTGCACTGTCCCTGTATATGTGCATGTATAGTATGATATCAGCCATTGGAGGGCTGATGTAGCGTTGCCTTATCTATCATTGCTGCCTGAGGAGTGCTTTGATAGCACTCATAGATGCTCATACTTGTAATGAATGAGAGGCAGGTAGGGACAGAAGGGGGGATTGTTACCTACCAATCGTATACCCAGGGAAGATCCCATGAGAGAAGTAATGTTTTCTTATTCCAGGCCTCTTGGCATCAGTCCCACACCTTTCCAAAAACCAGGCCCTTCTGGCACAAAATCTGCAGCCTCTGTTTTTAACACGCCCATGCTGGCCAAGTTTCAAGCTGGCTCAGAAGATGACATGGATAATGAGAAACCTGGTCCCAGCTCTCCTCCAAAGGGGGCGTAAGGGTCTCTTCCTGTGTGGAAAACTGCTACTTGAATAAAAATGCCATGGAAGCTACTTGGTTGTGTGAAGGATAGTGCTATGTAGTAGTCCTAGCCCTGAAACAAAGGAAACTGTACGTCATCAGCTGGGGAAGCTTTGGCAAGCAGGACAACTCTATTATTCTATCTCTAGCCTATTACCTGTGAGCTTTCTCTACCCCCAGGCAGCAAGGAGATCCACAACTCATTGCAAAGTATGAGCCCCAGCTCATACTTGTAGGCTGTGGGGAGTCTGGGGAGAAGGACATGAAGTTACCAATGGCTTGTATAGCAGGATCACCCTTATTCTGTTAGTCCCAAAGAGATTTGAATTCCTTGGGAGATAAGTGTCTAAGTACTATTGAGAATATGGGCTTTAGCTGTGACTGTCTTGGGCTAGATTTGAATTCGTGCCTGAACAGGGAAGGGCTGTGTATCTTAAGGCCAGCTCTCCACACTTTGCTACTTAGAGAGGCTATGCTCTTTCAGTGAGTGACCCGACCCCAGCAACCCTGCTCATCTCCAGTGGTTATTCTTTTCAAAATATTAAACATTAACATAGGAAATTCTACCCTACAAGATAGGAACAGGCCATCTTAATCTGCATTCCAAGTGCAATCCCTAGAACTAACTCGCAAGGATTCCTGCCTTCTAGTCTAACCACAGTGAAATATGTCATGAGAGACTGACAATTGTTTATTTAACAGAGGCAGATCTTCTCATAATAGAAGACTATTATTAGGGGTGGGAATGCCTTGCAATGGTCTGTCTAGGCAGGAGACTCTGCTCAGGGTGGTCTCTTGCACAGATGCATAGGCAACTGGTAGGAAGGGTGGGGGAGGAGGAGGGGGCATGTGCCCCCCCACCCCCGACAGGGCTGTCCCTGCTGCCAATGCCGCTGGCGGCGTCTGCGAGTGCTCGCCAGTTACGTCCCCGCCACCAGCACTGCTGGTGGCTTCTGCCCCCAAAGACTCAGGAGGCACCAGTCACCCATGCACAGATGCCACTATCCTCTCTTACTTCATCATTCTAAGTGTTTCATACCCCATTTGAGGAATTCAGGCTGCAATTATAAACATGATGGGAAGGAAGAGAAATTCTGAAGCCAGCAACACCAATCGTGTAAACCAGTGGTCACCAACCTGGGGATCCCAATCAACAGGTCAATCCTGGAGCCTCTTTGGGTCAATCCTGGGCTGGGGGAGAGCTGGGTGCAGGTACATGTGCACACCTGCCACCCCCTGCCCCAACAGGTCAATCTGTGGGAGAAGGAAGGGGTGGGGGCCAAATCGAGGCCCCCGTGGTGAGTGACTGACTGTGTGGCCCAGCCAGGAAATGGGGAAGGTAAGTGGGGCCCCAGCCCGGCTGGGTGGTATGAGATTGGGGCCTCAAGGGCTCCTGCAGGGGCGTGGGGGCCTCCCTTCCCATTCTGTGGTGGCAGAGGGGGCTGCTGCTGCTCCTCAAGTCCCACTGTGGCTGGCTACATACAGGCATGGCTCAGCTCAGGAGTGGAGACTCACGTGGGGGTGGCTGTGGCCCAGCGAGGTCTGGGAAGATCTGGTCACCCAGAGATATATGGCTGGGGGGGGCTTCCGCCACTGGATGCAGCTCGATGGAGGCCCTGCGGCCCTGTGCCCCCCCTCTTCCCCCAACCTGTGCTTGGGGTGCAGTAGGCAGCCCACAAGAGCATTTGCCTCATCCTGAGCACAGGTGGGGTGGGAGGGTATGGGACCCTGGGACCTCCACTGGGCTGTGCCCAACAGCAGGGGGCCCCCTGCGTGTCTGGACCAGCCACGCGGGCTCTGAACCTCTCTTGATGCAGCCTGGCCAGGGCCCCACTCACCCGGTGACAGGGACTGCAGGGTCATAGGTAGCGGAAGGGGGGGCCAACAGGACTTAGCCCCCCCACACGAACTCTGGGAGGGCATGGGAGGGCAAGTGCATCTGGATCTGTGGGCGGGGCATGGCAGGCTGGGACCAGGGTGCCCCATGGCTCTGCTTTTTGGCAGCACAGCCCTAGGGCCAGGCAGCAGCGGTGGCATTGGGAGGAGGCTGGGTAGCTATGGCAAATTTTTGGGTGCCGGCAGCCCTCCCCGTAGCCCCAGTCCCAGCGCCACTGCTGAGCCACGTGGCCAAAGAGCCATGGAACATGTTTCTGGGCTCAATGCAGGAAACCCATCTGACTGAAATGTGTAAAGGCTTGCTGCCCTCTGCTGGGCTATCAAGGAATGAACCTTACGTGTCACCTCTGACTCCTCTTGGGCTGAAATATCTTCTGTTAATATCTTCTGCTGGGTCAATGGAACCTGCAGGTATGTAGGTCCAGAATCTGCTTTATAGAGGGAATTTGGCACATTAAAATCAGGATCCTGATTAGTTGTTCTCAGTCCCATGGGGTAGCGTCTGCTCTGCCACTAGAAGTCACAGTGGCTCAAGGGACCTGGGTAAGACATTGTAAAAAGAATCCTGATGCAAAGGTTAATCACTGTGCTGACCAGCTACTCTGGGATTCTCCTGCTACTCCCCTAAGGGCTTTCTGCTGACACCCTTGTTAGAGTAAGAGTCTGACTGAAACTCCAAGGGACCATAAAACTACAAAGAGTGAAGTCTAGCACACAAGGAGCCTGGTACCGAATATTCTCAAACCTGCAAAAGTCACGACCACCATGCTGCAGGATCTCGCAGTCAAAGCTGTAATCTGTTTACTCACCATGCAAAAATTACCTAGTTTTCTTGGGTGTGGTTGCTTCCCTTGTGGGAGTTGTATCAGTGCAGGACAATCAAAGGCAGCAACTCCCCGCAGCAAGAATTCAGTTTCAAGGATGCCAAGTGATCTGACCTTGTGGACCTAATGTTCAGTACTGCAATTGAGAGCTTCTTCTCATGGGCAGCTAGAGCAAACCTGTAACCGGAGTACACCTGCAGGGACACGAGGGAGCAAAGTGAAGTGTACCAAGTAAGAGCAAAAGAAAGACCAATTCACTCCTCGAGGCTGCTATCCAGGGAGTGAAGGCGGAATAGTTCCATACATCTTCATACAAATTGTTCTTTGTTCAAGCACCAGCTACACAGGATGGAAGCAGCAGCTCCTCAGCTCAAAATAGGGGCACGGTTTAAATACGGTGGAAAATGCACATAAGTACAAACCTTCCCCCTTCAGTCTGTTGTTGCATAACTCTCTTGGCCCGTCTGCTGATTATCACAAGTTGCCTGGTCAAATGCTTCTAGCTGCATGGCCTATGTGCTCTGCTCTACTGGTTCTGTAAGTGAAGTCCCAGAATAAACCTGAGACACTGTGGTCACTCTCAGAGGATTTTGATTCAGAGCTCCTGAAACCCTGAGGATCACAACAAAGCTTGGTTTTTATCCCATCATATGAATTTCTCTTAAGGTGTATGTTAACATTTTAAACTACAGCTTTCTCATGGAAAGTAACTACCTCAACTGTTCCTCAGTCGGATACCTCCTGGTTAATGACAGGCCCAGAGCCACGATCAATGACAGCAGAAGCAAGGTTTGAATTCCGGGATGTGGTCAACAAAGCTGTTACAAGTGTCAGGTGAAGACTGTCTGCTCCCTCTTATTCCTCCATGTTCTTCAACAGGTTAATGAGTTAACTGGCAACATGAGCTGTCCCTGTAGTGCACCTACTCTTACATCAGCTTGCATCCATCAAGTCTCTAGCACAGAGATCTTCCAATACTAGAGACAAAAGCACAAATCCTCCATGGTACTTGGGAGGTTGCCTCTCACTGTGTTCATCCTGCCATTTGTATAGTATTAGTGAGAGAAATAAAACCCACACTAGAAAATCCAGAGGGAAACCCAAGGGGGAGGAGAGGAAGAGTGATTCTGTAACATTCAAGTGGCCCCAGGACTTTTGCTATGGCCTCTAGAACAAGGCCTACCAAAAAGGTTTAAGCAAAAAAACATGGGATGGTCTTTGTAGGGCTAATTTATGGCATAGGTCAAGCAGGTAATAGGGGCATCTGGGTAGCAGTGGAGCCAGATTAAGATAGTACAGGAGGGCAGAGACAAGAGCAGGAAAGAACCAGGAACCGGGGCTAGAGGTGTACAGTGCCAAACAGTTGCTTCAAGAATAGAAGTGCATTCTACCGCCATAGTTCAAATCTTTGAGTTGTCCTTAAATATGGTACGTAGGCAATCAGGAAAGCCAGTTAACAGGGAGCCTGCTAGACCCCAGTGAAGCTGATTAACTCATCACGTGCCTAGTGCAATACTGACTGGACTCCATACTATTGGAGAGACTTAACCCTAACACAGAGAAGCTGCTTGCAGGGACCCTGCAGGGAATGCTGTGAATCTAGGCTGTAGGAACAAAACAACAACATTCAAGGAGGATCTGGAAAGACAGTGGACCAGGATACCAGAGATAGTAGGGGACCAGAGATGATGGATCAGGAACCATGTGGAGACAGTAGCACAGAACAAATGGGACTTTAGCATAGGAGAGCTGTTCAACTGCTTGCAAAGAGGATTCTGCCACCAGCACAGAATCTGATTCAGCCAGGTGCTGGCACACAAAATTCACTCTTTCACAGCTCACAGAATCCCTGAAGAACGTCACATCTGGCTTCAGGATCCCACCACATTTGCTGCAGGCTGGGACGTGGAAATAATGCACCTGTTCCTGTGTGAGGAAGACATCCCCATCAGGGGCCACGCCATGTCCTTCAGGTGCCCATGTCGGATTCATGACTTCAAAGCGCTCTCGGAGCTCAGAGTGGGGGATGGGGGGTGGTGGTGATCTCCACAAACCAAGCAGAAAACTGTGAAGCACAAAATGCTCATCACCCCTGGGCTCCTGGGATTCAGGGGGGTCAGAGATTTTAAGACCAGGATGGATCATTATGCTTATCCTGTCTGACATTCTGCATATTACTGGTGAAAGGACTTACCCAGCTAAGTCTGTATTGAGTCCAAAAGTCCCACTGTAGACCTCACAAGTCTGGCCAAAGAGCAGAGCTGATTCAGTCTTCTGCCGGCCAGAAGGATGATAGAGAATTGTGTTTAAATAATCTATAAATATGCTCCTGGAAGTACCACCTGGTGTGAGCAGAAGGATTCTGTGCTATGGAGA